TTTACACAGCCTTGGTAATCGCCTGCCACGTGTAGAACTTTATGCAATAGCAGCACCACTTCGGGCAAACAAATACTTCGCAATTTCTCTAATTGTATTTGACGATTTTCCCAATCCAAGGCAGTTATGTTTACAGGATCTTTTGGTGTGTCCGGATCGATTAGCCATCCCTTTTCAGGAAACAGTAAAATATTAAAAAGCGCATCTCGTGTTACTAAAAAATAAAATAAAAGGTGTTCAATTACTGTGAAATGTAATATTTAGGAGTTTACATTTAGTTTGTTCTCCCAAATTAGCTTCCCAACGCTTCAGTTCAGCCCGATAGACTTGTTCTTTGTGTTCTGAGGCAATGCGTTCTGTAAAGTTGGCACCTGCTGTTACCAGTTGCGGTTCTTTTGGACGGTTATGGAGTAGACGAGACCAATCGTTAAAACTGTCTATGGCCGCCAAGTATACTTTGTAACTGAGATACTCCTTAATGCTACACTCTTCGCGGCAAGGAAAGTTGTCCTTTGAACCAAAGATGTTAATTATTTGTGAGAGCGAGTCGGCTGGCACCATATCGTAAACGGCGCGCACACACTCTGATTTGTTCTCGCCAAGGAAGGTACGTATCATTGCGTTGGCTTGCCACAGCAAATCTCCACGTTGCGTAGGCAAGAAGGTGAGCCATTCCAGTGCACTTATTTTACGCTGATCGAAATTTGAAATCTCGCAGACTTGCAGTTGTTTGCGCGATGTAACAGCTTCGTCAGCGTCTCCAGGCATGCGCTGTCGAATGGTCTCCACGGTATGGCGTGTGATATTTTCTACGTCCAAACCAGCATTAATGGCTTCAGTGAGTGCTGCGGAGCGGGTCATTGTCTCTGTAACTCGTTCGAGGAATTTGGAGTATAACAGAATTTTCATTTGTCCAGGCAATGCAGCTGTGTAGAAAGCAATTAATTGCGCATCGCCCATTTCGATCAATGCTTCTACGTAGGCTGCGACTATGCGATCTGCCGTCTCCTCCTTATCAACACGACCTATTTGGCGCATGAAGAGTACAATATGCGTAAGAAAGCGTAGATGAGAAGAAAGGGGTTCAATGTTATCGATCACGTTATTGGCACCTTCCATCCACCGTCGCATATGTTGCAATAGCTCACCAACGTTGTCCAATATCAAGTACTTTTGTATGGTGCCAACTTTACTGCATGCATAGTCGCGAACGGACGCATCATTGCTAACTGAGAGTTCTTCGAAAATCTGTTCAAGTGACATTTTTGCATTCCAATAACCGTCTGGCAGCTGTTGGTATGCCTTGATGCAGCACGCACGTGTTTCACACTCGACGCGTATATCAATCTGCACTTTCAGATACGCCCACAGAAGATCCTCCCATGACCCTTTTAAGAGTGCTCTTAATGAGTCAAGATGGCCACAGAAAGCCCCAGTTATGGCTCGTGTATATTCGTCAAACTTTTTAGAATCAGCCATCAACCAGGCGCATTTTTTCCATATATCACTTCGTGGGTTACCTTCAATTGGCATTTTTTCTCTAGCATTTGGATTTGTGTAATAGTTATAGAATAGCAGCGCGCCAAGTTTGTCCGCTGTGTTTGCAAAGCGCCATAGCTTCATCAATGTGACCCTGACGGATTTCTGCGAAAATACAGCGTGATAAACGTAGATTATCTTCCTCATCTAACGAATGAAGCGGACGACGTTCGCGAACTGGTGCATCTGGATCAAGCGATTTAACGATTTTCACGCCAGTTCCGAAGGCAACATCGCGACGCTTTTGCAGTTGGAATAGCGTGTTTTCCCAACCAACTGCCCGATTTGCGATATGTCCGACTTGCGACTGAGAATCGTTTTGCTCGTAACATGCTTCAAGCCAATCAACCATGAGCTGATATTCACGCAACGTCGAATTGCCTGAGGGAGACGATGAAGTTTAACTAATATTTAAACATTGAAAAAATACTTACATGCATACAATTGGGCAACAACTTCCTTCTCCGAACCACCCAAAGGAGGCATCTCACAATCCATGCCACCGCCCTCTGCCTGTACCATTATACGATCCTTGTATAGCGCATATAGCAATTTCCAAGTTTTCATTTCCTGATGCAGCCACACTGCATTGTCTTCTTGGCGTTTGTCAGTGTTGGCCACTTGACGTTGGTCTCTTTGTAGCTCATCGGCGACACCAGCACATGTCTGTATCAGATCCTGTATGGTATCAAAAACCTCGGAGTCATTTGTGCGACTCTGTAATACTTCCAAGAACTGTGGAAATAGCAAATCCGTTTTTCCTTTGAGCGAATACGTGTGCTGACCATCGTCTAATACCGAGCGCTCACTGGCAGTCATACCGTCGCCAACAGTCAGATTGTAATGATCAAAAAATGCACTAGAATTATTGTGGAACAATTGTCGCTGCGATTGGTCCAGAATGCGGGATAAATCGTTCGGCAACAAGGTAATGGAGAGGTCGTTGCGACTTGTATTTTGTTGAGACCGCATTGCCTTTGGCGTTTGAGTTTTGATTTGGATCAGGTCGCGTTTTGAGGTAGCGAACGGACCCTGAGACATTTTCAAGCAAATATTCCAAAATTTGCAATTTGCTTCGACTTTTCACTTAAAACGGTTGCACAGCAAATTGTAGTAAATACCGTCGGACAAATTACAGAATTTATATATTTCTTCTTCTTGTCGTGTTGTGCAGGCGCAGTAGAGAAAAACCAAACAAGCCAAGAACCATGAACCAAAAATACAATATCACGTAAGAACGCGGCGTTGTATTTGTAACTGGTTTTGAGAAAAAAGTTTGCGAAAGCGGGTTCGTCAGCTGAGCGTTTGTTTACTAAAACACTGCACGGATACATTTGAGATGCCCAACAAGACATTTGTTAGCAGCGCAATTATCGGCTACGTTTCTTTATACATTCCGGATAATCTCATTTCACAGCCAGAATAAACAGAATGTGTTTGAAATATACGTTAACATATCATCAGGAACGTTCTAAAGAATAAGTAAACAAAAAAGATTATTCCAAACGTTCAGAATGAATAAAGAAATTCAGCCATCTACTCTCTTTATCTCTCTATTCTCTTGTTGAGTGCGGGCAAACACAAACCGCTTGGAGTATGCGTAAAAGCGCAGTTACCCACGAACGTAAAAACGGAGAACGTGTCAGCTGACACGATCTATCTTATGGCATCTGCGTGTTAACAAAAACTCACCACCGCATGACCGTGGCGTAGACGTTGCTTCTCTCTCTTTCTATCAACAGCATACTTGATATCTTTCTACGTACTTCTACGCTACGCTACGTACACGTTCGTGGGTAACCGCGCTCTAAGTAAAAACCCGATCAATAGCAAGAAAAGAAGTACTGGCTTTGCAAACACAATTACCTCGACTGAAGAATATCCGCAAGCAGTGTACTGTGCTTGCGAGTATTTGAGTATTTTCATAGAGCTGTTGATTGTTGGTGTTTGGGTTATGCTATTTCCCTGCAAGCCACAGCTAACCAGTTGCCCCTGAAATTCAACAGATTTACACACACACTCGCAACTTTTTAGCTATCCCAGCCAGCAAGAAAACGTAGATTTTACGAACATTATGTTTTACGAGGATTCTCGTATCGCCAAAAAGTTAGAGAAAAGCTCGTAAACGATAAAACAAAAAAATATAATAGAAAGAGGCTTGTAGTAATTTGTCAGCACAGGAAAAAATTTTAGTTTTGTTGACAATTTTTCTTCAATCACAATATTTTATAAGTAAGTAGTTTGTTAAATATTCAATTTAAGAAAATTGTTAAGTATGTGATTTATTGGCAGACTGGTGCAAACGCAAAGGACGACCTACCACTTTCTTTTATAATTAAACTTCTTGTAAGTAGCTACTACATATGTAATTCAAAAATACAAATTAATTTAACGAGTTTCTTCGAGCAATTCTTTCACAGGCTGCGCGGAGCAACACTAAAGGATTTTAACGTTTAATTCCCCTATAGCGCTGTTGGTTTGGCAACGACTGCGGCAATAAGAAGTAGGGATAATAATATTATTTATTACCACTTTTTACTTAATTAAATTTTTCGATTTCCAATGGAGTTTAATCTTTCACTTTATTTTCTTAGGTGCTTTTCGTCAAAAATTTAACTCCGACGAAGAAGTTTTTATTTCTGTTTCAAAGAAGCACTTCCAATATGCACACGACCGGCAACAAAATTGGCAGCCTATCGGCAAAAAGATAAAAAATAAATTCAGCTACCTTATAATATATATTAAACCCCTCTTATTTAATTGTTAATTTGTTAATAGATAGTTTGTTAATATTTATTTATCTGGAAATATCTTTACATATACAGTGCTGGGAAAAAATATTGGCACAGAGAATTTTTCGCCATGAATGCAAAGTTTTTATTCTGATTTCTTCTCTAATTGTTTTTTATAAAAATATAGTTAGTATGAAGTTCTACTTTCAAATCAGATTTTTTAGAAAAATTCTAAGTATGCAGTTTTATAGCCCATTTAATTTTAGTATAATAAAGTTCTCGCTTGAATAGCTAGAAAACCTCTTTGTTTTTTGGCAATTTTTTATACGCAGTTTCTTCCATACAAAAAAAAATGTCGAACATAATTTGCATGGAAGAACATACATACATGTGCGAAAAGAAATTCAAGTAAAAAACTTTGCATACATTGCGAAAAATTCTCTGTGCCAATACTTTGATCCGGCACTATAAATATTTATTAATTACAATTCCATTCAATAAAAGAACTACAATAATTTGAATTAATTAAAAACAGTAGATAAAGCAGTGTAAAAAACGCCTTTTTAACGTAAATTAATCGTTTACGAGACTCGTTAACAATTAAAAAACGGACGTAAAAATATTCGCATACGAATGCTTTTTCGATCCGTTTACGACTGTTCGTAGGCGATGAACAATTTAAAGCGAAAAAGTGCTCGAAAAAGAGTCGTAAACGGCTATCATAAACGATTTTTAATCCGGTTTTTCTTCGAGAAAATATCCAATTACGAGTTTGTTTACGATGATTTTGCTGGCTGGGATGCTACCCACACATTTACAAATTTATTTTTCCGACTGTCAAAACAAAATTCTGAGTGAGAGCACCGGACCTAATAAAAATTTTTACTGTAATAAGAATTTTATGCGTTAGAGCGAGTAAGTGGAAATGAAGCAAAATTTTACAGCTTTGATCACAGAGGCTGTGACTTTAGCAAAAGTTTGACATCTTTGATCACAGTAGGCTGTAAATAAAAGCGTTAATTTTGCAAAAACATTTGAAGGTAAGAGAACGTTTTAACAATTTGCATTGTTTATAATGGAATTTTTTTCTTTTAGATTGCCGAAACACTGCGATTTAATCATATAATTAAGGTATGTATTAGAATTATTCAAATATTTGTATATTTTAATTGATAATTTTGCATTTACAGATTTGCGATTTTTCATTCTAAATTTATCTTCGATCCTGCTACCACGGAACATCAACGCCACCTCCAGTCAGGCACCACACCAGCATATCCACCACCTTCAACGCCGCCACCAATAAACAGCGCTGCATACCTTATTCGGTAAGTTTTCATACGACGAATAAACGTTGCTTCTGCTGCAAATGCCTACATTAATCATGTTCCTGGTGCTTCCCGATTTGCACATTTCACAAGAAAAGCTGTTTTTGCAATTAATAAACCTTATGGCGTACAGAAACAGCTTCCTCTAAAAACCTGCGAAGCGTGAAGTACCTGGAACAGGCTCATTTAGTGCGTTCCAGAACGTCTACGATTTGCAGGTTTTGCAGGATTTAGTCCAAAGTCGTTCCCGTACGCCACGTTCACATAAGGCTTATTAAAGGCAAAAACAGCTGTTCCGGTAAAACCTGCAAATCGTGAAGTACGGGAACAGGGCATGAATCGCGTATGACGACAATCGTCTGAACGATATCGTGCCGAGATTGTGTTGCTTCATGAAAACCAAAAATTGTTTGATCCTTTGTGCGATATCGTCAACTCGATCCCAGTTTTGCTTCACGTAACAGTAATAGTAACACGTAACATCAACACAAATGCATAAATCAGTGTTTTTACGAGGTCATTTTGTCAGTATCGTTTGAACGACTATCGTTTCAAAGTTACGTGATTCATGCCCAGGCTAATTATGTGCAAATGTAAACAACAAAAGAAAGTGCAGTGCTACATATGTGAACGATCGGTGAACCAATGGGTCGCAACTCCCGCAGTGGCACCAATGTCAATTGAAAAAAGAAAATGGAAAAAACACAACCAAGTGTATTAGTGTATAATAGCTTGAATTTCAAGTGGCTTTATTATCAAATAAATCAGTGGGTGTACAATATGATTACCTTTTAATATGTATCGCTGGGTGATGGCTGAAGTCGTCCGGTCTCCTTGATAGCTCGAATGAAGTGAAAAGGTCCCGCTTTGACAAAGTTAAGTTTACCCGCCGGCAGCCAACTGCTCGGAGGGGAAACTTAACGAAAGTATGTTACAACGGGAAATAATACATTTATTGCTAACGGCGTAGCAATAAAGGTAGGCCGTATATATGCCTGAGTGTGTTTGTGTGGTCGGCTCAAGTCAATGCACTTTTACATTAGGGTGGTTCGACCTTTAAATCATTTGGTTTTGCATGAAGGCCTAAACATGCCGGCCCCCCTTGCTATCAGCAACATCGGTCGAGCGCTTCAGCCACCACGCCGGACTGAGTACTAAGAAGTAGAAAAAAAACAGTCTAAATATATGTAAAATAACAATTCATTTGAGAAAAAAATATTATTATTGTTTCTAGTGGCAGGATGCCTCCAAGTTCCGGTGGTCCACGTCTTAGTTTCCTAGCTAATGAAAGAATAAAAGGAAGAAATACTAATGAAAAAGGTATGGTTGAACATTTCAGAGCACATTTATTGATAAAAAATTTAAAAATTTAGTAAAAAATTCATGTTTACAAAAAAACAAAAAATTTAATTTAGGAGCGACATACTCCTGAGAGCATCCATCCAAAAATTGTGCTTTGGGCGATAAAGGGACCAAACGTGTTTGGGAGCATACCCGGCAGTACGATGTCTGGGTATACGTCGGCTCCCAGTATTAAGCGAATCGGTGTCGACGTATAAAAGTTTGGATCCGCTAGTCGTATGTGCGTATACGCTGTCGCTATTGACGGATCGACGCTACTACTGGGGCTAACACGGACGTAATTGTTTATCGTTGTGGCGTGGATAGCCAACCTGGTGTGCTGGCCGTGTTTTCCCCTCAGACGCAGTAGACAGCCACGTTGGTTTCCGAAATTTGAATCGTCAAGCCTGAGTTTTACCGCTAAATCTGTCGCAATTATAGAAGTCGGAGAGCATACGTCGATTAACGCGCGTATAAGGTGCAACCGTCCACGAGCTTCTATTTTTACCACGACCGTCGGAGCAATAGACGTCACCGGTCGTAACGCTTGGGTTTCGCGTGCAAGTCGACCCGCTCGAAATGCGATGGATAGCTGGCGAGGCCTCGTCTCCAGTCTACCCTGATCGCGATTAGGCCTGTTTGACTCCTCTCGCTTTTGCCGCAGGCGGAAAGGCCTAGTTTCCGCTCTACGGTCCTGCCGGGCTGTTGACCGCGGTCGGAAAGGCCGTGTTTCCGATCCACGTTCTCGGCGTCGTTCGTGCTCTAACAGGGGTCGGAAAGGCCGAGTTTCCGATCCCCTGGTTATAGTCGGGAGGGGAGTCCCAGATTCCGGTGTGGATTCTGCTGGTTCATCTTCTAGGCGGAGCGGCCTGGTTTCATCTGCGTGGTCGGACGCGTTGATAGATAACGCGCGTTCGGACTCGTCCTCACTAGCAACTTGCTCACTCCATGGGCGTGTATCAATCGGCTGAAGGGGTTCGGATTCGTCATCCATGTGCAGCGTTGTGTGGTGTTTTTCGCGGCACCGACGACATCTTTCTTCGCTCGTGCACTCGTCAGACCGATGCATCATGGACAGGCAGTTTCCGCAGAAGCGACCAATCAGTGCCTCCCTCAGTCTCTCTTCGGGAGTTTTACCGCGGAATGATGGGCAGAGCCGTATCGGATGCATACCTTGGCATAAACGGCACGCTAGAGCAAAGCGGTTTGATTGTTGCTCGGCCTTCTTTCTCATCGAGGTGAAGCGAGTCATCGTTGATGTCTGAAATCATTATTTTTTCCCTTTTGTGTATATTTGGCTATATAGATATACGTACTTGTATATATATGTATATTCTAGTTGGGTGGCGAGTAGCAAAAAAACTTAATTATATGTGGCTATTGTAAATTTCGTACATTTTATGGTCTCATATATCACTGTCTTGTGATAGTGTATAGTGTGCATAATATTGCATGAGTTTTGCATAAAGTGTGTGGGGCACCTTATGTTTATGCATCGACACACGGTTATCGACTTTGATTTCTCTGCTCGCATCGGTGAGTTGTCATTTTGTTAATTTGTGTAATTACACGGCCTGCCACCCAAAACAAAAGTAAGTAGGTAAGGGCAACCAAAAAAATCGCAGATAGCAAGTGGGCTGGAACGCCTGACAACTTGATTTAAGGTAACTAAAAACATGCATAGTATTTGTTGATGAGCCTTGTAAAACAATAAATTATAGGTCCGGAGCAAATCGGCAATGCAAACTAATCACATGATAAACATTTAGACGACAAACACTGGTTTTCACAAAAACAACAAAACTGCTGCAGATTGCCCCAGTTTCATTGATAACCCCTGGCACCCAAGTGGATGCTTGATTTTAATTCCATGCTCAAGCAGCAGATAACTAATGCGGCACTAGTTGGAGCAGATAATTGTTGATAAGGCATGGCAAAGAGTGCAATTCATGCAAAAGACTTAAAGTTTTGGTGCAGTAAAAGCACAATATACAGTGCCGGTTCGATCACAGCGCGGCGCGGAGCGTGCTTAATATAGGCTGTATTTTATTTAACAATCATAATCTAAGAAAAATGGCCACAACCGTTCGGAACCCATTGAAGACAGTTTTGCGGCAACGCATGAAGACCGAGGTCATACCATCTATAAGCGCCGAGTCAATAGCTCGACAATCGAAAAGGTGATCGCCTCTGAGACCTTTCGTCAAGCGAAAGATGTTAGCATATATCTAAGCACTGGCAGTGAAGTAGATACACTACCTTTGCTACGTGAGCTCTTCAATCAGCAGAAAAATGTTTTTGTGCCCACGTACAGCGGCAAGCTTATGGAAATGGTGCGCGTCAAAGATTGGGCGACCTACGAGGCGCTGCCACTTACAACTGTAATTACGGAGTACTGAGCGCACTGAATTTAGTTGTACATTTTGTAAATAGTATATATGTACACAGAGATTCACGTTTACTTATGTGTGTTTAAATGTACTTTTATATTTTTAATAAAAAGTTAAGTTAACTTAAATTAACAAAAAAGGGCCGGCATGTTTCGTTTTCGTATTGCACCGAACTCTTGAAGAAATAAACGAAATGAAATAGTAACGTGCATTATAGTTTATTTTCGTACACAGATGCTTATATACATATGTGCTTGGGAGTATCACAACTTAATGCTTTATTTGAAAATTACTAAGTTGGCGGTCCCTTCAAAATTTAATAACTCATGATTTTATTAAAAAAGAAAAGCACATTTAATACGCTTTGCTTTGTCCCGAACAAATCTAAGTAGTTCGCCGGTATCGAGTTGCGTAGTAGATTTTCAGTTTACCGATCGTAGGAGAGTCCGAACCCTGGCTGCGCTGTCAACCAAGAGCGTAAATTGAAATTTACGTTCTTGTATTAGAGATGTGCTGAGTCCACACATATGAGTATTCATACCTACTCGGTACCTATTTAAAAGTATCCAATACTTTCGACACTCGGTGTCGGACTATTAAACAACTTCTAACAAAAGCGCACGACAGCCAAACGTATGGAAGAAATTTTTAGAGATAAAGCTCATTAGCAAACTTTGAGGCGATGTCTTACAAATTCCAATTGGAATAAATAAATGACTATGTATACATATATATATATATATATATTATTATTATTATTTTTTTTTTTTTTAAGGGGCTATGTACGGAATTCTTTGTGAGTACTGAGTCCACAGCGCCTTCAGGGAGTACAGAACAAAAATTAAATAACTGAAAGTCATTCGTTGTCGAAATTTCAGAGAACGCTTCATTTTTATGTGAACCTTTATTATTCTTTTGAAAAAAAAACAAAATGGATGGGTCCGAAATTGTGCAACAGGTGATTTAAGTGTACTTATGTTACTACTAAGGTATATTGCATTGAATCGGTATCGGTTACCAATACCGAAACTTTGGGTACCGAGTATTGGGGCAACTCTGCACATCACTATGTTTTAAAAATGACACTTTCATTGATGGCAATTGCAGCACATATCACAATTTCCTGAATGGCACGAGTGATTACGATGCGGTAAGTTGCGTATT